GACGGTGGTTGTTGTTATTGATTATCTTATGTATAGTTGTCTCGGCCATATGGATGGCTTTTGCCACTGACTTCTGTGTTCATCGATTCTAACTTGTTACGAAATGATGCACTTGCTTACCAAGATAGGGTACGACATATTACAGGTCTCTCTCTCTCTGGATGGTCCTTATTCCCCAAACTTCATTCACATTCCATTATTTTCCAATACCATTAAATACGAGGAATATCCTGTCTTGGAAATTTTAGAACCCCGATATTAACACTTCTTTATGATCACGGTGTATGAATATTTTGTGTTGGAAAGGGCTGTTACATACCCTTTCGAAAAGTAACCAATTTTCGGTGGCATTACACTTTCTCCAAACAGTGTCAAAATGTAGTTCTGATAGATGCCTTTTCACCATAGCTTCATATATGGTGTGGCTGTCAAGTGACTTATTATAATTTTAACATAACGTACTCAACCCTCTGTATTTCTGGATTCTCGTAATCCAGTCTTATCACTGATCAGCTTAAGAGAGAAGGTGAACTGTAAACACAGATTTGGAAGTTTCAAAAAGACTCTTCTATAAGATTGTGAGAGCCAGAACTCGTTACGAAGCCCTGTCTTTATTAACACAGATTTGGAGTTTTCAAGAAGACTCCTTTATGATATTGTGAGAGCCAGAACTCGTTACGAAGCCCTGTCTTTATTAACACAAATTTGGAGTTTTCAAGAAGACTCCTCCATGATATTGTGAGAGCCAGAACTCGTTACGAAGCCCTGTCTTTATTAACACAGATTTGGAGTTTTCAGAAAGACTCTTCTATGATATTGTGAGAGCCAGAACTCGCTACAAAGCCCTGTCTTTATTAACACCGATTTGGAGTTTTCAAGAAGACTCCTCCATGATACTGTGAGAGCCAGAACTCGTTACGAAGCTCTGTCTTTATTAACACAGATTTGGAGTTTTCAAGAAGACTCCTCCATGATACTGTGAGAACTAGAACTCGTTACGAAACTCTGTCTTTATTAACACAGATTTGGAGTTTTCAAGAAGACTCCTCCATGATACTGTGAGAACTAGAACTCGTTACGAAACTCTGTCTTTATTAACACAGATTTGGAGTTTTCAAGAAGACTCCTCCATGATATTGTGAGAGCCAGAACTCGCTACGAAGCTCTGTCTTTATTTTATCTTTCTAGACGATATCTCCAATTGATCTTCATTTTCAGGAAGTTTTCTTCCCATCTACTTTTTATTAAATATTTTTCTTTTATTTACTAGTTTCGTTTGAATACAGTTTTGCTTCATTTATTTTATATCTCAACTCTATCATAATGCCATGGTTCATTACCACTAGGCCATAAACCATAGTATTTTCTTCAAAAACCAAAGTGTTCATTTTTAATTTATACTTTACACCGAGTTTTGTCTCTCTCATTCCACCAGTAACAAATCACCTCAGTTAATCCTCGACATACTAAGTTCTCGAACTCCCTGTAATTGCTAAAATCATATAATTGTGTGTTAGATTTATTGGCTCTTTTTATCTACTAGAATTTACTGAAATAGTGCACAGTTGTGTAATGAGGCTCAAGTAGGCCAGCTTTACCCCATTAAACCTAACATGATTTACAAAAGATGCATATTTATAGTTGCTAAGAGGATGGGTAAATTCTAAAGAGCTAAAATGAGTTCCATTAAATTTATCTAATTATTGTGAAGTGTAGATACTATATCTTCAAGTTTCAGTCATTTATTGATGTCTATATTATCACTTTACTATTACAGTGATTGTATATATATACAAGGAAACAAGTATATTTTGCTGAAGGAAGAGATTAGTAAAAATGGAACAATATAAAAATGAATTTAAAATATTAAAAAAACTCTTTATTTATAACTGTTAATTTAAAAGTAATAAATAAAAGCATAAAAATACCTTTTCATATCGTCTAGGATACTCTTCAGTTTCTGCAATATAGCTTTCTCGAACAAGTTCTACTTAACAATGTAAAACTTCCCGCGTTTTTTTACCTTAAAGCTTTATATAAGTTTTAAACTCCCTCTGTATGTTAAACTATGTAACATTTAATGTGGTTTTAAATTCCTTAATAAAATAATCTTTTATGTTTTTCACAAGAACACCAAAATGGAAATAATTGGAAAAAGGGTTAATATTTTCCCATAATACACTTATTAATGTGTTTGGTAACAAGTAACGGGCTATTATTTGCATTTCTGACATAAGATGTGTAAATTTATTCTGAAACGTAAATTTTCTGTTTCTTCAACATATATTTGCTTACAACAAATACAAGATAATACATAAATAACATTATGTGAATTACAACTAAATCTAGAGTTTCTAAAGATATTTTCTCCCCAGTAAGGCCTCTAATTTATTTCGTGTATGTAATATAACCTTTCCTACAAATATAACAATTTGGTTTATTGCACGGAAAAATACATTCATCAGATTTATTTACTTGATTTAGGTTGTCTTCGTTTATTTTCAAACTTAGCTTTTAGAGTTTTATGTGAAATTCTTTCCAATTCTTTTTTGGATATCATTAATACTAATTTTAAATCCAGGGTAAAGCGTTATTACAAAAGGAATAATTTCTACTTCTTTTATATTATAATTAGTTTCCTTTTCAATGTTAGCCAACTTGAAACCCTTTAGAGATAGTAACATTTCCAACAGAGGTTTCGAGTTAGATAGGATTAAAAAGGAAACAATAATAATATAAAAGAAGAAAAAAATATTCCTTTTGTAATAACGCATTACCCTGGAGTTAAAATTAATATTGACACTTACGAACGTTCAGAACATTTCCATAAACTTCTTTGATATTCTTCGTGGCGACAGAGGCGTTGTTTCCCTTCTTGTATTCAAACAGCATTACATGCCGAAACGCGTGTCTCGTCGTGTGCCATCACAATAAGGGATTAGAGTATACTAAACTTTGCACATTATATAGGCTACACTAACGTGACGTTTAGGCGGTTCATTTAACTATTATATGTGATGTACGTTTTTTTTTTTTTAGATATATATATAGAGAGAGGGGTAGCGATGTTATAAAAGTCAACAATAAGAAAGCTAATCTCAAAGCGCTTTCCACTTGTATATACAAGAATAGACAATAAATCAGTAGTACAATACTCATGGTACAACTTCTATATATACCAGTATGACCTTTTTTTTTCACAACAAGCCAAAACTGTATAAACACCAAATAATTGTAATGAATAATATCGCAGGACTGTTTTATCATGGGTATTAAAACGTGTTCTACGCCATACATGGTTTCCTACCTTAGAGATTTCCCAGAAGGTTTGTTTGTTTGTTTCGAATTTCGCGCAAAGCTACACGAGGGCTATCTGCGATAGCCGTCCCTAATTTAGCAGTGTAAGACTAGAGGGAAGGCAGCTAGTCATCACCACCCACCGCCAACTCTTGGGCTACTCTTTTACCAACGAATAGTGGGATTGACCGTGACATTATAACTCGCCCCACGGCTGAAAGGGCGAGCATGTTTGGTATGACGGGGATTCGAACCCGCGCCCCGCAGATTGCGAGTCGAGCGCCCTAACCACCTGGCCCTACCCGTCTGCTTCTCGATCAGTGACAAACGTATATATGTGTGGCACAAACTTCTTGTTCAAGAGCCACTCTGATCTTAACTGAATTTTTTACAGCGTCTGTAAAAGCAGAAAATAGTTTAAAATATTCAAAGCGGATGTAAACAAAGTCTTCGTTATTTTTCAAAAATTTGCAATCGAAATAGTTTCTAGATATTTCGCTAAAATCAGAAACTATTGCATGTAAAATGGTTTATTTAAAAAATAATAATACAAGTATAAACACACAAAACTATAGCTAGAATTGTGAAGAAAAAACTTTGTTAAAAACTTGTATATTACTGACATTCGAGTTGAGGGGAGGCAATTACTCATGACGTCATCACCGAAAGATAATATACATTTTAAAGATTGCTTGTTCAACATATAAACATATAACAAAACATATAAATATTTTATAGTGTTCTTTCTTGAACGAAGAAGAAATAAAACTTCCAGAATACTTAAAGCCACTTTAAGCAATATATATTTTTCCTGTTATTGATTATATCATTATGTCGTTATCCGACAAAAAAATGAAAATCAAACCAGTGAGAAAATTATACCAATAAAATATAGGTATTATATTTAAAACAAATAATAACGTAGGCAACTTTTTCAGGCAAGATAAATTTTAAAACATAATCGATTCCTCTCCACAGCTACAGGTGGCGCTTTAACTTTCATAATGGGTTCGCCTAAAGAATAATAATCTAGATAAATAACATGTAAGATCTAAGTGTTAATGATATTACTATTTATATTTGTTGATATTTTTCTTGTATTAGAAAATATTGTAACATTAAATAAAAACGTGGATTATAATCAAAGATTTTGTTTTCATGGGTGTGTAAAATAAAAGGTAGTGAAAATAATAATACGTTTGCTTGCTTGCATATTTATAATTAAGCACAAAGCTACACAATGAGCTATCTGTGCTCTGCCCACCACGGGTATCGAAACCCGGATTCTAGCGTCGTAAGTCCGCAGACATGCCGCTGTGCCACTGGGGGACATAATAATACGTAAAGACACGTTGGAAAATTAATAATAACAGGGGGTATTTTATGGAAGAGTTTAGAAAGTGTTTCCTAAAAGTATATTTGTAAAAAAAAAAAACGTAACATCTTGAATTTTATAAATATACATATTAACTACAAAACATTATTGTCACCAGAACCTTGTTACACTTCGTATGAGCTAATTTTGCGATATGGCTAATATTCTGACCTGCGCATTGGTCGAGAGTTTTAAGAAATATTGAATCCATCGATCTGATTGAGTTACGTGATTAACCGTGGGTCGTAAGAGTTATTTGTCTCAACTAAAAATAAAAGCTCCATTTTTATGTGTTTCATTCCAAGTAATACAAACAAGCAGGTCTTACCACTTCAATCAGTTGAGACAACTTGAGTTTGATGTTCACGGTTAGGGCTTCACTGACGTTGAGGACTGGTCGGACTAGTTTATTGTAGCGAGATATTAAGTCATCGTAAAGTCTCTTGGCGTCTGGATTTGCTGCTCCACCTAGAACAGGAAGTAGGTGTATTTAGAATAAGTGGAAATGTAAATCCACTCTTCACAAAACTCACGAAGATGGACGGTTATAAGCTATCTCATCATAAAAATTACACGAAACTCGTATTGTGTTTTGTTTTCTCGAACATGTGTAATATTACTAGATTATTTAATTACATTGAATAATCGTGTTTGGGTTCCTACATAAGATTAAATCTCAATAAGTTTTAACAGCTACTGATAATCCAATATATATTTTTTATGTCAGTGTGAATTTTCTTCTCGACTGATGTGTTAGTACTTATATTTTAATGTTTGGTGTATAATCCAATATATATTTTTTATGTTAATGTAAGTTTTCTTCTCGACTGATGTGTTAGTACTTATATTTTAATGTTTGGTATATAATCCAATATATATTTTTTATGTGAGTGTAAATTTTCTTCTCGACTGATGTGTTAGTACTTATATTTTAATGTTTGGTGTATAATCCAATATATATTTTTTTATGTGAGTGTGAATTTACTTCTCGACTGATGTGTTAGTACTTATATTTTAATGTTTGGTGCATATAGATAAAAGTTTCGCGGTTTTTAGACTGGAGAACAAAATATAATTCTTGCTTTGTTAGCAAACGGTTTATTTGCTTCTTTCTGACGATTCACTCACTAAAGAAACATACACTTTTCTGGTTGGTTAAAACTATGTTTATGTATTCAGGTTTTACTCTAGACGTATAACATTAATCACACACACACACACACACACACACAAAACAACGTAAAATTAGAAACGTATTAAGTGTGAGTATTATATATATATATACTAGCGTATAGTCCGTCAAAAGTGACGAGGCAAGTACAACAACCCTCACCCTATATTATACCCTAACGTCACATTTCATAGCTAACTGAAATAAATAAATTTTGCGAAATCAAGTTTGATCAATAAAGAGGCAGAAAAGTGCAGTCGAGACAGTCAAACATCGGTAAATTCCCTTGTGAAAAGATAAATATAGTTAAAACCGCAGAGACGACGAAAATATCAAAATTAAATAATTGGTTAAACAATCACCAAGTTTTATATATTTTTATTTAAAGAAGGATGACGTTTAGAGTTAGCGTTCTTCGTCAGATCATACAGTTTACACCTGAACAGCACTAGCTGAGTTGGAATATCCACTTCAAAAATCGACGTGGGTCATTCTGGTCCCTTCCTACCAATTGAGGGGGCAAATTATGAAACATTTTACCACTAATGAGAAGTCTGTGAATCGAATGAACATCTTGGATTAAATATTCAAATGGACTGTTCAGCTGATTGGACAGGACTTGTGCATCGATAGGTTTCGATTTCCCGCCAATTACCAAACGTTAATAGATACCAGTGGATGCTTATTTGAACACCTCAAGTAACCATGGTCACCAGAAAAATGGAATCTCTAGATTCACTCTCTCACTCAAGAAAAACGAATCATTTATATAAAATATAATTTATTTTACTATTTAAAAAAATAAACTCCAAACTCTTGATAACACATTATAAATGATTCTATTTTAAAAGATATTTTCATGGAAGTAATAAAGATTTGACTCGTATGATGAAATTTTTTCCCGAAACGTACAACAATACCGATGTTATTTACAAATCCTTAGTGCGCTGGCCCTGCCTGACACACTCATGAATGAATTATTTCGTTCTTTCATAGCTTTGAGCTACCCAGGTTGCCGAAACCGGGCTAATCACATTCGTGTGGATAAATCATCTTAAGGGGATAAACTTTATATAGCTGGAAAATTAGAGAATCACAGTTGTTCAAGTGTTGCATATATAAACTTGGTAAGTCAAATAGTTGCAACCGACCTTTTCAACGAAACGGAATCTAATCTAGATGAGTAGTTCGTTTATTACTTCATTCACACGCTACTGTGAATGTAACTTTCTGTATGAATATTTCCTGAAGTTTCGGCTGTGTTGAGTTCTGAAAAAAAAAACTGG